CCCCCCGCCTCGCCGCCGAAGCGTCACCGGGAAGCGGGAGGGTGGGCTCCTGGAAGAGAAGGAGGGCACAGAGAAGACAAAATGAGGGAGGCTTCCCGTTAGCTGCAGGAGCGCCGCCGCCGCTCCATCCCACGTGAAGAGCCGGGAAAGGCCGAGAAGCAACCGCAAGCAGCCGGCCTCTCCCTCCCTCCGTCCCTCCCTTCCCGGACTCTTGAAAAGCGAGAACCGCTGCCGGCCGGAATAGCCCCGCCAGCTGACTTTTCTCCGGCCTCTGCCTCTCCTGCTTTTCCCGCTCCTCTCCTGGCATTTACAGCCCCTCGCTCTACCGCGGAAGGGGCCTCGTCTCCTGCGCCCTGGCCGCTGCTCGCCTTCTCTCTCCCGCCCTCGCGCGCACCGGTTCTCCTCGCGTTGGGTTGCAGCTCCCTTTCTTCCCCATCCCAGCACAGGGGATCCCTTTCTCTCCCCTCCCCCCCGCCACCCTAGCCTGAATCCTTCCCGGTTCTTCCTGCTTGCTCCTCTGCTTTCTCCACTTCTTGCAAGCGCTCTGGCTCCCTCCTTCCCGGTTCCTTCCTCCCAGCATCTCCTTGGAGCGGGATACACTAATCCGCGCCCTCCCTTTCAATATAGGAGAATCTCCTTTCACTTTATCGCTCCCCTCCGTCCCCCCTCCATCTTCTTTCCATAGTGCAGGGTCTCTCCTCCTGACCTGTTCGGACCCTGCCTGCCTGCCCCAAGGGGTTCCACCTCTTCTCTCTTGGGTCACCTGCTTGCTTCCCACCACTGCCCCTTAGCCTACAGTTTGCCCCCTTTCCTCTCTTGCCTGGGGCTTAAGAGCCAGAGGGGAGGGGGGTAGATGTGGGGAACCCCCCTTCCCATGCCTTCAGTTACGGATTGCCTGCTGGCTGGTCTTGGATGCTCAGAGGAGGAGGTGGACAGCCCACTCAGCAGTTTCATCTGAGGGATGCTGGAGGTGGCCGAGATGATGACTTGATGCTTGGCTTTGCCATGGATGGTTTGAGATGCTTCATGGTTGCCTTGGTCACGCTGCTCCTCTATCGCCCGGGTCCACCTTGGTGCGCTGCCCGACGCCTGGTGCTTTGGACAGGGTTCCCGGTATTGCTACCCATCTTGCTGTCGGTGCCAGCAACTCTGACCTCCCCAGCAGCAGGTAAGGGAACAGAAAAAGAGCTCCTCCAGTCCCAGGTTTCAGCTTCCTGGCTTCGGCGTCCCTTTCCAGCTTCTTTTGTTGAGCCTGCAAATAAGCTTCCTTTCTGTGTCTTTGGAAAAGTCTTGTTGTTTTACCTTCCCAGCATACCTTATAGCAGATTGCTTTTTAGAATCATCCCCGTCTTTCTCACTTTCCCTTCCTTTATAGCACAGTTATAAATGATAGTTCTGCCTCTCCGCCAAATAAAAGTGCTTCTGGGATACTGTGTAGATGTGCACAGTAAAGATGTAGAACAATTACGTTTGTGCCTGCAATTTTTTATGTATCCTGGAAAGGAAATCTGTTCATCTTATGCTGGGCTTGTATTTTTAAATGTGAGAATTATTTTCTTTTAAAAATTGTTTTTACAAAGGAAGAATATTCTTTTATTTGCGGGTGAAATAAATAACCCGCCATCCTTCTGTGTCTGTGGAAAGGGTAGGAGGCCGTGTCTGCTGGAATGGATAAGGAGTGGCCTGCTGCTTGTAATTGAATTGTGTGTTGGAAAATGGATATGGCCCTAAAAGCTGATATACAATGACAGTGTAATTGGGATTTGCATTGTTTTGGGGAATGGTGAAGCATTTTTTAAAATAAGCCCTTAGGCGCTTGGAAAGGTCTTAGTATTGGCTTCTGGGGTTCTAGATGCATTTATTTGCAGCTCATTGTAGAATCACAAGGGCTGGAAATGAGAGCCGTATATAACTGTGCAGTTAAACATTGTTCACGTGTGTAGGTTCAAATGGATCTGGTTTTGCTTTGAAACAACACTCATCCTAATGTGTTAGTAGTAAACTGCAAGGCTATTTTCTTTTGCTTTCTATTGATAATAGAATTTGAAATATAGTTGTTAATTATACTGTATAAATGTTTTAAATAAATTAAATAATAAAGGCAGCAAACACATTACCTAGGCAAACTTTCATTTGTAGAAAGAAATCATTCTCCCTCTCAACTTACTTTCTTTCTTTCTTTCTTTCTTTCTTTCTTTCTTTCTTTCTTTCTTTCTTTC